TGAGGAAAATGTTGATGTAATAATGGATAGATATGTAAGAAATTATTGGGCTGAGAAAAAGCAAAAGGGAACAAAATCCCTCTTTATCCTACAAACTTGGAATTCATTCTTTCAAAATAGAATGGATGCTGTATGTGAAACCGGGTGTGCAAAATTTCATCAGGTGAAGTCATACAGACCAGATTTATTGATTACTGAGAAAAATGGTCTTCTAGCTGCAACTTCTTAATCTGTGTTTCTCATAATTGGTACCTAGGGAAGCATTACTGTGGAGAGACCACTCTATACCCAGGTGTTTCCTTCTGATTCTCTGCTACTGAACAATGTAAGAAGTGGGACAGTGCACCACTATGCTTTTCTCTGTTCCTGGGTCACACATCCATTCAGGTTTCATCATTTCAGTGAAACCTGAATGGATGTGAGGCTGATCTGCTCCATGGCAGATGGCTGTGTCCACCTAAGGCATCAGTTTTAGCCTTCCAGCACCACATTCAGGCACCTCTTGGGCTTTCCAACCAGAAGGGCTTGGACCCACCCAACTATAAAGTCAGCTTTGTACACCTAATTCTATACAAATTTGTGCATTTGTTATGGGACAGAAACAACTCAGATTTTCTTAGCAGGAACCATCTTTATGGTACAGGTGATCTGTCTGCTTAGGTAGCACCAGACTTAATCTGAATTCAAAGAAGTTGAGATAAAAGGATTACACTCTAGCAACACATAATTGGCTAATACATGTGGTGTTTAGGGAGGTAGAGCATCACAGCTTTTTTTTTTTTTTTTCATTAAATGATTCTGCATTGCTTTTAAGTACTATTGTATAGATATTAAAGTAATAATTTCCTGGCTTACATTTCATCTGTATCTTGAATACATCTTTATGAAGATACAACGTCAATGAACGTGGTGTTGTATACATAATAGATACAGATAGATTATTTTCTCAGCTCTTCAGCAATAACAATAAAATGCTCTTACTGACTCCAAATGTGTCCTAATAGGTCTTTAGAATGTTTTTACTGCTTTGTTTTCCCCCACTAAATTATTGTGAAATTGTTATGGGTAAAATTATATATGTTCTAGTATGTGTTATATTACAGAAGACATTTTCATGTGCAGTAGGAAGAAAAACATAGTCTGCCTTTGATCTAAAGAAAACATGAAGGTCTTAAAGAGAGACAAAAGAAGCATATTGATGCCAAAGTCTTGCTGCTTTCAAGACATTAATACCATCTTAATACACTGAAGGAATGAACGCAGTTAATAAATTCCTACAGAAGACAGAAAAGACGTTTCATCAGTGTGATCTTGATGTTTTTCTTTGACTGTTTAGGAAGATCACTGACTCCCATTGTAATTCCACTGTCATCTTTCGTAAATATTTTCCCCGTGGAAGGAGAGTCATCAGTATCGTATAACTATAGTTACCTTCCATAATCAATAATGTTATTAGGCTATGGAAACTTACTTACTATGACCTTTAATGCTGTTATAGTGATTTAATGTAGAGTCTTTTATATAAGGCAAACCAACCATAAACTGTAGAATACATTCTTGATTATGAATTCAAAATAATGTAACAACTGATAGTTAACTTTTATCCTTTAAAGTAACTTAGGAAGGAAAATTTACAGATTCTAGCCCATGTGTTTTAGCAGACTCATAGAGTCACAGAATCATAGAATGGTTAGGGTTGGAAAGGACCTTAGTATCACCTAGTTCTTAATGCGATTGTTGTTATTTTACTGTGGTGCTGATCTCCAGATACATTTTTAATTCAGGAAAAAAATGCTCTATTCTTGCCTTCCAACTGCATGCTAAATCTGTATGAAAATCTATCCCAGATTACTGTGTTATTTAACCAACTACATACACGAATTCGATATGGTATATATTTATCCCTGTACGTTGATGTTTGCTTTGTTTCCCCTTTCCCTCAACAAGTAAGTTCAGAAATAGGCCTCACTCACAGGGGTTTGGGAACAACCAATGTAAAACAGAAATCCATAAAGTTGCCTTTTACTGTATTTGTTTCTTGTTCCCAGTCCTCCCAGGATTATTGTGCTTATACATTTCTCTTAGTCATAAATTTAATGATTCTACCACAGTGATTTACTCTAAAAAAATTTATGGAATCTCTTAAAAATTCTCAGCTGTGAGCCATAGCTCTCTGAACTGCTGTTTAACTTTGTGTTATAAATGCATTTCCCTAGCTGCTCCATGGGGAGGGAAGTAATCTCATAGCAAAGTGTCATTTTCCAGTGGACTGCTGGCATAGAGTAATATGAAGTGGAAATAGTAAATACTTTTAAGATTTGTGTACAAGAATCACAGAACGCCACCCCATTTATGAGAAACATTCAAATAGTAACTCTGTGTATTAGAAAAATCCTGTCCTGAATGTGTGATGTGTTAGACAGGTTCAGAGCTACATAATCTGCTAATACAACCTCACAAATATAAATACAGTAACTTTGTGGATAGCTTTTTGGACAATAAAAAGTTATAAGAAAAATATGCATAAGAGTGACCCAATGCACCAAAGAATGTTCTGAATCTTAAAATTTAAATTAATAATACTGCAGTGTTGCATACCTCTATGTATAAACAGCAGGCAAAAAATACATACTTTTTTTTATCTATACCTCATCAGATACTTAATGGAATGCCATTAAAATGCTTCAGATAGCAGGTGCTTCAAATATTAATTTGTAATTGCTTCAAATATTGTGTTTCTGAGCATTATGCTGCTTGTGTCAATTACCTGATTACAGTGTTTACAGTTTTTCTGTAAATACAGTGTTTACAATTTTCTCATCATACTGGTTGGGAGAATTGTTTGCCTAACTCTTTGTAAAAACTTTGAATCGTGACTTCCAGAGTGATAAAAATTGTGGAAAGCAGGCGTCTTCTTAAAAATGGTAAATGTACAAATGGATACAGACACACACATATATGCTTTGTGTCTTATAAAGGACCACGTCTTTCTGCACACCGATGCAGAAAAAATTTATGATTTTCATTTTTCTTTGATGGAGTTTAAGCATCTTTAATTTCTGTTACTGAGAAAAAAGAGTTAACGTGTGTATGTGAGAACATAGATATCAAAGGGTGAATGCTGTTTATAGCAGGAGGCATTAAATTCTCATCACCTAGTTGTCATCCCTTGTGACTGTACACATTTTGAAGATGGTTAAAGTAATAAGTCTATGAAGGTTTGATTGTATTTTGCTGAATGTTGCCTCCAAATGTGAATTGACACAAAAATAGGCAGTTTAGCTGGAAAAGCATTGCATTTCTTCTCTCCAAATCTGAAATAGAGACTTCTCAAGAGGAGATTCAGAAGAGTGTACGATCTCTTGGAGGAGAAAATTCTACTTGTTTTTACAAGTAGAAAAGCAAAAAGTATTAGTTATTACATGGCTGAAGATTTCTGGTACTGCTGCATAGAGGCTGCACTACTAGACCTTACTTTAAGACTGCCTGGGGCAGCAAGGATTGTGGTCCAGATCAAAGGTGTTAAGGGTGAGAGCAGTATATATTTATGCTGATCTCAGATAACCAGCGTAAAGCAGTTGAAATTATATCTTTTTTTTCCACTGTTCAAGATGGAGAATTGTGTTCTTTAATGCTTTCCAAGGTGGGTTTCCTCTTCTCTACTGTATGTGAGCTAGGACATGCATGGGGGCTAGGGGGAGGAATAGGAAAAAGACAGTTCCATGTTCTCACTTGTATTTCATGGAAAGTACACCTCTCTGCAGTGCAAATAGCCTTAGGAGAAACTGTGAGCTTTTTAAGGCAGTGAAATTCGTGTGTGACAGCTGTATAGCTGTATCATATTCATGAAGGAAAAAATAAAGAAATAAGTTGTTATGCTGATTTCTAATTATCTTGAATTTTTCAAGGCTCTGCTAGTCTTAAGCCCTGTTGTAGGCAGGCATATACTAATGACTGCAAGCTTTGCATTTCTACAGTTTCTTGTTAGGTATCTGTGATATTTTAAACTGTAAATGTTTAAATATGTTCATGTGCAAAAAAAATATTCTCTAATTATTATTTATAATAGCTTACAGAAGTTTCAAGTACCTGCTGGTGGGATTACTCGAGATCATTATAAACTTTGTAATGTGTACTTAAGACTGTAAAAGTTGTTTCTATTGCAGCTTTCTGCTATTATCACATTATTATTTCAGTATGTAGATTTAGGTGTGGGGAGGTGGAAATACATAGAAAACAAATGTTGCTTTGGAATACATTGCCTATATAAGTATGTATTCTTCAGTTTTCCTAATGCTGCAAGCGTTCATCTGTCGTGAATTTCTAAAACAACACCATGAGGTTCTTTTTCTCTCTTATAATGTTTCTGTATTCAGGTAAGTTGCTTCATTCCACCAGTATTTCCTCTGTCAGATGTAGTATCTTTTCTAAGAGAAGCCTCCTCCTTTTTTGGTGAACGCTGTGAGGTCGATGTTCTCTCCAGTGAAAAAAGCAGACTGATGGCTGCAGTAAGCGAGATGGTCTGGATTGAAGGTGGTTCTTAGTAGCTTTGTATGCAGTAACCAAACAGCCAGACTTTATTAAAAAGGTGAAATTCAATAAAGGTAAATATAATTCAATAATCTATGAAGCAAACTTTACATTTGACTTTCTAAAGGATGTCATAAAAACTTAATTATCATTGTAAATTAAGGTGATGTTATGCTACTGACAAGGGTCATAAATGCCTTTCCCATTAGCAGTTCCTATTTTCATAGAAATTTGCCATAATTTATAATTTACTGTGGCATAGTTTCTTGAGAATATTTCATTAATACATGCATCACATTTTCATGGTCTGAGTGCTGCAGGAATTTATTAGTGTTCCTGTTGTCCCATCACTACACAGAGTATTTGTTGCTGTGATAACCTAAAAAAGATGCTGTCTTTTTGTATCAACACAGTACCATTCACTTCACTGAAGCGGTACCATTTTACAACAGCTATTATTATTTACATACCAGTGATGAGGAAAAGCCTTACAGAAGGGTGGAGCTGTGTTGGACTTTGCAACTGCCCATGCATTATTTAACAATTATTAGTGTGGGGAAATCGCTGGGGGAAGGAATTAGAGAAAACTGAGGTCTAACGGAAGTTGCAGTATTATAGAAACCTTAGGGATTAAATACTCTTGCCACTTTCAGGACAGTTGGTACAGAAAGAATCTACTCCACTACGATTCCCTAGGCAACACAACCTGCTATGGCAGAGGAGCAATGGAGGGTGGAGCAGGGTGGAGACACTGCTGCCAGGCTCTGTTGTACTCCCTGCAGGATGGGGAACTTGATGGTACCATGCAGCTGATAAGCCACATGGCAGCTGTCGAATGGGAAATATAAGAGATGTCCATTGTTGAGCCAACAACTGTGGCGAAATCACTTTCCTTAGGTGAACCTTGCTCACAGTAATCTCATTATAACAGTAACACATACCTCCATCCCAAAGTTACCCGCCTCCAAGGTACAACTACCCCTAACCAAGCATGCACTTTATATTTTTTATCTGCTGTATCTTTAAATGAGAAGAGAATTTTACACCAATGAGTAATAAAAGAATGTATGACTAGAGTCACTCGAGATCCACCTGAGAGCAAATAAAAGTATAAAAATGAATGAGAGGTGAGGGAGATAGACTCCATCATAACTTCTGGGATCAGTCGATGGGCTGTCTTCTCGCCCATAGGGATGCCTATTGGGTAAGAATTTTATCTTTTGCACGTTAAATAACTAATGCTAGCTGTCATTAGTGATTATAGTCTGATTGTGTATCACTTCAAGCTTGTTTTTGCAGACAGTATCTATCACTGGCAGTCATGAACCTTAATTTGTCACAATTTTATATTAACAGTGTTATTTCACAAACTGTTAGTATCAGTCCTTCGTGGGTGCTAGCAGGTGCCTGCAGCAAGTAACACATTCAAAGTGGGAAGACCTGCTTAGGGGTCCCCCTTATGATTTTGGCGCATTTCCCTGGAAAAGTCAGTCAATTCACCCTCTGATCCAGCAAGACTGTTCAGTGAAGAGTCCCTGTAATGGGATGCTGACTGACTGGTCAGGCATAAGGATCTTGGCTTTCCTGGGGCACTGATAGCCAGATCAAACACTAGAAGTAGAGAAAATCTCTCACTCCTTCCCACCTGCCTCCCTTCACATGACAATTAGGTAAATGATATCTGCAGTAATAATTCTAAAATGACTAGCAGTGCATCTATAATCACGGGTAAAGGTTGTATAAATGAATTTTTGTTTTCAAGCAGTCTGCCCTAATACTATCTCCAAATTAGCTTAGGCTGGCTCTCCAATGTAGAACACTCTACTGATTTATTCCTGTACATTTGTCCTTGGCCACTGAGATCCAGAGTACATCTTCATTACTGGTGTAAGAATTTGCATAGATAAGGACCACAAAATCATTGCTACATGAGTTTGTCAAGGTAGCTTTACTGTAGGCAGTGACAGTGATGTTATAATATATGTTCTCTCAGCTACTGCCCTAATTCTTAATTTTTTTTTTTAGTCATCTGTGATTATTCTAAGGATACTGTCCTGACAGCTTTTCTTATAGGTGGCCAAAAGTTTACATCCAAAACTTCTTTGCTTCTTACTGACTAATCACAGTGGTGAAAAATCTTTTGGCTTTTGCAATTGCTAAGCAGCAGTTGGTCATTTTGTCTCCCCTTGGGAAGAGAACCTCTGTCTCACCCTGAAGACCTGTACTTGCCTTCTGATATTACTCGTCAGAACTTCTTTCATCGTTTTATGACAAAATTCGGTTTCAATCCAAGTAGGTTGTGTTTTATCTGTCTTCACGCCTTCTTATTACCTAGCATACTCATCTTGTTGATGTGTATCATTACATTCCCACTTCAGCTTTTATTTTCACCCTTCTTGAGGAGGCATGTCTCTATCAACTGTGATTGCTCGTGCTTGCTGTTTCTGGTGTGTGTAGCATCTGATTTCATGTTGTAGTTCTTTCACCACATAGATGTGCCTCCCTTATGGCACTAGGGTACAAACTGTATTAGTTGCTTCTCACTGACCTTGATGGCAAACAGCAACTCTAGGCTAAATGAACTTAATTAGTTTGTCAGCCTTGAACTGCTGCCTTTCATGTCTCTGGGCAAGTCTTTATGGCCGATGAAGGAAATAGAAGGTATTGGGGAAGACAGAAAAAATAATGGTGATACTGTATGGGCTGTAGCAGGGAGCCCTGGAGATAGGTCAAAATGACACAGAAAGGGGAAAGCACTGCTAGATGAATGATTGATTTGTCAGCATCCCTTGCAGAACTAAATTAATTTATCATTAATAACTTCCGTGATTAACGTTTAAACAATGCTCACAAATAGCATGTCTAGAAAACCAATGCGTTTTGGATTGTTTTTGGAAAAAGGAAGTATTAAAGTGCTTATTATTCGTGGTTTGGGGGCAAGGGGGCTCAAGGAAATACAAAGATTGACCATTCAAGTGTAGTACAAAATAATTTTAGTCCTGCTTCAAGTCCCTGTGTCAGTGAATTGCCTAAATGCCCATGTTGGAGTCATATCGAAATAAGATTTAAACATTATTATTGTCTTACTGTTTCAGGGTATAAATGCAAATGCCAAATGAACTTTCACCACACATGCTTGCGTGTTGTCACAATATCCTAATACAGAATGATTCCTGCTCAACTTTTCACTCTCAGCCTCCTGGTAATGTGTATTCTGGACCCATTAAAGTGATCAATAATTTTGATGCCAATGTACACTGCTTTTGTGGATAGATTGCTCAGCTATGTCACATATTTATTAAATAATACAATGATTATTTCATTTGCAAATTTTTATGCTGTTTTATTAGCCACATAAATTGTAGTTCAATGCACATGGGTTCCTGGGTACTGTAGGAGCTGGGTGTAAATGTGGGTGAGCAGTCGGTGTTGTTCCTTTAAACATACACAGCTTGAAAACCAGATGGAATTGTGTTCTCATGATGTTTAAGGACTTTTAGAGCACTGCATATCACTGGCATCTGGAGACCAATTACTGAAGAAGCTCCATAGGGGTCCCGCCTCAGGGTTTTTAGATGGATGAATAATATATAAACTCTATAGTTTCCCACAGAGAGCAACTGGAGCAGTATCAGAAGGAAATAAGCCTTTTAGGAGTTGAACTGAAAATGAGGTAACAGCACAGGATTTAAAATGAAGCAGTTTTGCTTTTACATACAGCATCGAACATAGTATATTGGTTAAATTCTTATTTCTCTTTTTTTTTCTTTTTTTTTTTTTTTCCCTTGGCTTTATCCTTTCAGAATCTTGCTTTTCCTAATTTTGCACATGTCTATTTGGAAGCCTTAAACAAAATGCTATGAGGCTTATTCAATTATTCCAAGAACTAGGATACTCAATTTCCTTTTAGAAAAGCAGTGGAAATGATCTTTAATATGTGCATTATTCATTTTATAACACAGGTTCTGCATTATAGTACTTAAACTGTAATCAGATTTTATCTCACCTGTCATTGTGGCTGGTTCTGGGTTTACTCTGCTTTTTACAACTAGAAACAGATTGCAAAATGTTGTATCTCGTACTATTCAAAACCCTCTTTCAACTTGTTATATTCCTTCACATTCCTTATCATTGTCCTCTGTTTCAGTTTACTTGAAAACAAAATGCATTTAAAAAGGAAATAGAAATATCAGAATTGGAGGTACTTAGCTATGAGAAGGAATTACTCTCTTTTGCTGAATTAGAAAAGTTTCTCTACTGGTTCATTGCAATACAGATGCAAGTGGAAGTTCACTGAGTGCACAATTCAAAGCTGAAGAATGCATTATCTGGAGAACACTATTGAGACCTGTACAGATGAAAACAAACAAGAGTGTTTGATCAGGACACCAGAATCTCCTACAGAAAATCAAAATTGAAGGGTAAAAGGTAGCAGCAGAGTGGCATTCCAGAAAGAAAAGGATCAGAACATATGTGGAAACTACATGTTGTAATAACATTGATCAATTTGATACTCAGAGCTTCAGAGGAAGGAAATAAAGCTTGCCCCCTAAGAAAATAAAGTGCTGTGTTATTAAATACATAATTATTGGCATGCAGGGGAACGCTAGAGACACAATAGAAGACAAGGCATATTTGTGCTAGATTATCAAACTGTATTGAAAGTATGTCAGCTATCTTGCTTTTATGCATGAGAACCTACCTAAGTAATAAAGGGAAAGAAAAGCAGTTGCCTAGACAGTATCAGACTAAACTGACCTGGCTAATGTAGTAGAACTCAAGTTGCACTTTAATGAAATTAGAACAGTGCCTTGGCTTTGCCTGTTCCAAACCTGTATCCTTATCTGAATTTTCACAACTTGTTCACATGCACCATTGCTGTCTAGGGCTGGGATTCCATTTGTGATGATACTTGAAAAAGTCATTCATCATCTCTCCTGCAATTCTTTGTTTTTCCTTTCCTCCATTTTCATGAGAACTGTGTGGTTAGTGTTACCTAACTGTCCTTTGTCTGGTCATAGTGCCCTGTGCCACTGCTTCTTTGTGAAAGCACTATCATTAAGGTTATTGACCTTGAAGCTTAAAAGTGGCTAATGCTAACCTTTGTGCCTCCAAGTTTACTGTGTGAGTTTAAAAAGCAGGGAAAAGGTTTGGTTTGTCACAGTAATAGAAATGAACAAAGATTCAGAGTGTGTAGAGGAAGTCAAAGGAGCAAGGGAAATAAATTATGGTAAATGTTGGAGCAGGCTACTGAAAACTGGTGGGAAAAAGAAAATAAGGCTTCTTTCTTTTTAAATTATCAGTCCCATTACAAATATAGCCTAAAGTGCATGAGGCAGTCTCCCTCTTTTTTCTTTTGTTTTTAAGTCTATTCTTCAGCTCTTAGTCCTGAGTGTGCACTATTTATTGACGCTTCAGCTACAGGAGCTACTGCAAGCTGACCAACAAAGTCATTGTACAGTTAATCCTGATAGCCCTCATTATGAGGAAAAAACAGTGTGGGGGAATTTGGGCAGTGCAGGTGTTGTGGTGGTATTGGGTTACGTTATTTTCTGGTGGGTATTTTTAACTTAGAAAACTGAAGGCTTCAAAATCAAACTGTCAGAGCTTGATTTATGTGGAAGTAGAATCCCTTGGTAA